AGCTGTGGGGCCCTTGCAGGCTACTGAGTAGACAGGAATGCTGGGTAAGTGGGCAGGGCCACAAAAGATGCAGAATAAGGACTTGTCTTTTGTGAGCCAGGCTTTATGTTGCCCTGCCTTGTTTCAGGTTCTACCTCTGTCTGTTTTCTGGACCTTCTACCTCCCTGCCAAAGGTAAGGGTGCTGGGCTCCCAGGCCGAGCTTTGTATTCCCAGCACAAGAGCATGCTGGGAGGGACTCGGTGGTCAGGGTTCCTCAACCCCTTGCACAGAGAGCCCAGCTGTTTGAGTCTTCTGCAGGTCCTAGGAAGGATTGCCAGCCCCTGTAGCCTGTAGTCTGATTCCCATGCCTGCTGGGGTTACTTGGGCCTGGATGCACATATGTCTGTGTTAGGGCAGTAAGCGCCAAGGTGACTCAGCTTTGGTCTCCTACAGGGGCTGACTGAGAGTCAGGATGCAGACCAGGCCACCGAGTTGACTTTCACCAGTGAGAGGTAAGGTGCACAGGTGTGGGGACCAGGAAAGGGCTTGGGCATTTCTCTCTGCTTTCACCCGAGCCTTGGGTTAGACAGGTGCTGTGCCAAAGGGATGCTATGTCTGCCTCCTCAGGCCGGGTACTGGGGCAGCCACAGCCCCTTAGCTTCCTGTAGGAGCCTGCAAACGCCCTTTCTCCTCACACGTGTCTTCCCCCCCCAACACCCCTCCCCCCAGCCACTTTCAACTATAGCCAGGGTCCCAGTCTTCCCTGCCTCCTGCATCTTCTCATCCACACACATAGCCCACAGATGCTCAGGCCATCCAACACAGGTAACAGAGAACACATGTTACCAAAAGACACTAGTGAGAGGATGAGAGACCCTAAGATGCATGGAGGGGATTGGTCCCAAAGCTCACTGGGGAATTGGCAGGGGAGCTAAGACAGCAGTAGCCAAGGGTCAGGGGCCAGGCTATGCAGCAGGCTCCTGTTCTCAGCTCACTTGCCCTGTTGCTGTTTCTATTTTACTATGAAAGAAGCAGGTTTCCCCATCACTGCTGGCACCTGTAGTTACTTGCCCTTTCCTTTCACCCACCTCGATGACTTTTTGCTGCTGTATTTAGTGGCTTGCATCTTGTTCCTGTAGTAAGCTTTCTTGGACCAGCCCCCAAATCATGACCCAGAGGCTTATTACTAATTATGTGTGGTCAGCCTTAGTTTAGGCTTGTTTCTAGATAGCTTCTTTAACTTAAATTAGCCCATTTCTGTTCGTCTATATGGTGCCTCAAGGCACCCTAACCCTGTCCATCCTGCTTTGCCCTGGCCCGCCAGCCCCACCATTCCCTCCTCTGCCTAGCTATTGGCCGGTCTCAGCTTTTTATTAGACCAATCAGGTGCCTAAGGCAGGTGAGGTAAAACAGCAACACATCTTTTCATAGTTAAACAAAAGAATCAGAAGCATAAACAAATGCAACACATCTTTACTTAGTTAAACAAATATTCTGTTCTACAACACATTCCCGTTTATACTCTGCCCTCATAGTGTTCCAGATGATCTTTGGATCTCCTGCTTTTGCTGTCACCTCTGACACCACCTGGCCCCTGACCTTTGGCCACTGCTTTCTTAGCTCCCCTTTGAGCATTGGGACTCTTCTAGATGTTTCTACTTGGCTTTGCAGAGAAGTACAAGGTGTCCAATCCCCTCCATGCATCTTAGGGTCCCTTAGCTTCACACTAGTGTCTGGGTGAAAGGAATAGTTACCAGCCATGTCCCTGCTCTTCTGGGTGACCCTATCCCTCTTCCCTTTGGTCCTCATTCCACTCAGCTCAGTCCTTCCTTCCATCTGCTTCCTGGGTACTAAGGGCTGTCTGGGTTCCTGTCGCAAATATTCTTATACACCCCACTGGGTGCCTGTCACTGATTCCTGCTGTTCCCTGCCCATAGAGGAGGGCAGGCTCCTTACTTCCAGACCAATGTGGGTGCTCTTCTTTTCCTTCCATGGCTCCCTTCTGGCCTCATGTGGCCTGCCCTTCTTTCCAGGTGGCCTGCGTTGCTGCACACAGCCCAGCCCCTGCTATAAATGCTGAGTAGCTCTTGGACCTCTGCTCTGGCTCTGCCTGGGGAGGGTTTGACAAGGCTAAAGTCATGACTCTGGCCTGTAACAAGGGCCACAGGCTATACTGAAGCAGCCAGCCACTTTCCCTCAAGCTAGGCTGGATCACTTCATCCCAGCAGCCAATGGTAATGTGGCTGTGGGTGTGTGAGCAGGCTCCCTCTCTTCTTCGGGCCTTTTGTCCACTGGGCTGTGGGGAATCATGTTCCTCCTCAGCCAGGGCTGGAGGCCGAGATCAATCTGTGAGGAGAATCTTCGTCAGGACTGCCATGAGCAGGCAGCCTTGTTTTCCGGCCTCAGACATTGACAGAAGCTGGGGAGGGGCAGGGGATGGGTGTGGGGGCATGACACTGGCTCCCACTAGGCACACTGAACCCCAACCCTGAAAGAGATCTTAAGTGGCATCAGTGGACTGTGCAGGTACCATGGCTTTTCTTGGACACCACCAGGCTCTTGAGTTACTCCTTCCTGGAGTCACCCTATGGACAAGGTGTGTGCCAGATACAATGCCATCTACCCAGTGATACCTTACAGGGACAGGGACTGCCCCACAGCTCTACTAAACCAGGGTTCTGGTCCTGTTGCTGAGGTGTCCGGAGGTTACAGACTGGGAAGAAGGGTCTCAGTTGCCCCCCCCCCCCGGGGGGGGCACAGCTTAGCCACCCTATCACTTCTGCCTCTGACTAGGGCTCCACACAAGAAGGCACGGCGGGACCTGGTGAAGAAGAGCAGGGAATGGGTCCTAGAGAAGAAGGAGAGGCGCAGGCGCCAGGGCAAGTGAGTATTGGCTAAAGATGAGCAGGCAGGGAGGGTGAGGCTGTGGCTGCCAAGAAGTCACCTGCCTTTGTGGTCTCAGAGCTCTTCATTCTCCTGAGTCTGTTCTGTCTGTCTGCAGGGAGGTTAGACCTGACACCCAGTACACTGGCCGCAAGCGAAAGCCCCGCTTCTGAGGGTGCTGTATTTAATCAAGTGGAGAGTCTGGCTACCCACACCTGCATCCAGTCCTGCAGATGGCCCTGGCCACTCACTCTGTTCAGAAGTTGAGAGCTGTCGAATCCGGGACTACCTTTCAGGAGTTTTCTAGATTGAACTGTTTACCTTTAGCGACATCGTATTTTTAAAAAGTTGCAAATTCCTCAAAATATTTTTTCACTAAAAGAGTTTCAGGGATTTGGGTTTGGCAGCCCAGATCTTGTATGTAATCCCAATACCCTCCTGAGAGGCTGAGGCAGCGAGATGGGAAGTTCCAGGTCAGTCTGAGATACACAGCAAAAACCTGTCTTAAAAAACAAAAAGAAAAAAGTTCTAAGGATTTTTTTTTTTGTCTTAAATACATTAAATTACTTTTTAGTTAACTGGTCTCCCTGGCTCTGTATTAACCTGTATCTCAGGCTCCTTCGTTGGGGACCACTGCATGGCTCCACGCAGGAACTGGACAGGAATGGACAGAAGTATTCTTGCAACTGTGAGAGGCACAGGTGGGTCCCTTGCACCAGGACTCATGTCTCTCATGCCATGCATGATGTCATGCAAGGATGGGAATGGGGGTTGGGCATTTGAGGTATCCATTGCCTCAGGTCTCTGCCACTCTAAGTTCCTTGCCTCAAGTAGGAGGTGTTAAATATCTTAGAACTTGGTGGCCTCAGGCCATCTGGACAATTGTAGATCCTGCTCTGGGGGGTGTGGTGTCCACCAGGCCCAGGATATTGGATGGGTATGTTCTGTGAGCCCTAGGAGGGAGACCTGGACATGGCATAGCAGGAAGGCACTGTTAAGGGAGGGTGAGGGGCCTAAGGCCTTAGCCCCTGGAGTGTCATCTCCCAGGGACCAGAACTGAGACCTTGGCTCAGTGGGTGTAGTTCTTGCCATGTGAATGAGGAATTCAGAACCCAGGGGAAGCTGGATGCAGTAATGCTGCTAGTTAAATACAATTCCCTGAAACTCATGGCTCATCTATATACAGTGAACAAAAGACAAACAATCCTGCCTTGTATGAGAACTAAGCCAAATAATTGAGCAGAGCAAGGGCAATCCAGAAATTTAAAATAGAACAATAGAAGAGCTTCTACTTCAAGCATTTTTTCCACAGCTGGGAGGGCAGGAGCTCTGATCCCCGGGGGGAGGCGGGGAGATCCTGCCTTGTACAAGGCCCAAAATTGTCCTTTGATCTCCTCACACATGTACACATGCCCAGGCACACATGTACACATGCCCAGGCATACATGTGCACATGCTCAGACACACATGCATTCTTTTTTAAAAGGGGCTGGAGAGATGGCTCCGTGGTTAAGAGCATGTACTTCTCTTCCAGAGGACCTGAGTTTAGTTTCTACCATCCATACAGCCACTTATAACTCCAGTGCCACGGATCCAATGCCCTCTTCTGGCCTCCACAGGCGCACGTAAACAGCCAGGCATGGTGGCGCTACCTTTTAATCCCAGCACTGGGGAAGCCTAGCCAAGCAGTGGATTTCTCTGGATTTGAAGTCAGTTCCAGAACAGTAAGGGCTGCCTAGTGAGACCCTGTCTTAAAAAAAGTTGAAGAGATGGTTCAGCAGTTAAGAGCACTTGTTGTTGCTTGTGCAGAGAAACTGGAGTTGGTTCCCAACACCCACATGGCAGCTACCCATAAATCCAGTTGCAGGGGATCCAGCCCACTCTTTGGACCTCTGCCGGCCCCAGGCACACACACATACTGGCACAACATTCATTTAGGTAAAGGATCTGAAGCCATGCCTCTGATGAGCAAAGGTGCTAGCTCTCCCCTAAGTAAGGGGAGATTCTGGGACTGTCCCAGAAAAGCCCAGATGTTACCTACTGACCAGGCAGAGGCAGCTGAAGGCCTTCAGTACCGACATGTTTGATCCCATATCTACTACACTGCAGATGGAAAAAGAAAGTTCCAAACAGAGGCTCACTACAGATACAAATGTTTATTCTACATAAAAATCTCACAAAATGGGCAGCTGGTTGTACCAAGACCTTTGGTGAAGGGGTGGAGGGAGGCGGCCGTGAGAGAAGGCAGCACGGACAGTGGTCACAGTCACTGGGCAGGAGCGAAGCTGAGGGAAGGGGGGACACAGACAGGGCCCCAACTCCTGCTGCATGCACTTGCATGCACACTCCTTGCCTGTGAGCAAAAAAGGGTTCCTGGGGCAGGGGGTACATTTTTGACTCTGAGAAGCCCCAAGATGGCAGGGGAGATAAGTGGGGAGCCCCTTCCCCACCTGGCTGCTGAATACTGCATCCAGTACACCTGACACCACGTGGCACGTCAGTGGGAGACAGGGCAGGGTGAGACTGCAGGCCCAAAGTGATACCTGGCTTTTCAAAGCATTAACAGACAAGGGGACCACTGTCCCCAACATGCAACTCTGGCCGAGACTCAACATGCCTGTTACAGACTGTGGGCAGAGTCCTGAGGTCTTGCTACCTCTCAGCTCCAAACAAGGCTGGAGAGGGCACCACCAAGTTTCTTGCAGAAGTTCACTAGGCTCAGGCCCAGCCCAGGGACATGACTCCCAGGACTGTGGTAAGGGCAGCTGAGGCCAGAGACATTGTCAGGCTTTGCTCAAAGTGGGGGTACTGGGTAGTCCTAACACACCAGCAGCTGTGGCACCCTGAGCTTCCTGGCAGTGGTAAGCTAACAAAGACTTCAGTGTTGGGCTATTCCCTGGGACACTTCTCCCCTAACCTGAAAAGCAGCACCATGTGACCAGCTGGTCCCCACCCTCCAGGTGCCTTGGCATGGTGGGGAGAGCTGGAGAAGCCAGAGGGCAGGGCATGTGAGGGCAAGGTTGGGGTCCAGAAAGGAGCCCGAGTCCCAGGGGAGGGTGGACCTGGCCAGGGCCTGAGTCTTGCCCACACTGACCTGTCCCCAGCCCCTCTGGTTGATCCTGATCCTGCTCCCCTCTGCCTCCTGTACAGACACACACTGTCACAAGATCATGCACACGACACGGCTTGGGGCAGGGTGGTGGGAACGGGAGCCTCATGGCAGAGAGGGAGCAGTGTGGGATGGGAGGAAAAGGGCTCCCAGCCAGAAGGCAGGGGTAGGGAGGGCAACCCAGCTAGGCGCAGCAGCCAGGGGCCTCCTCAAGGAGACCCATCCAGAGTGGAGAGGTGGTTGGGGCTGGTGTCTATCCAAAGATGCCCCCGATGGTGGAGGCGATGACAATGCCCAGAATCACACAGCAAATGATGATCATGATCTTCTTCTGCAGGGACACAAAGCGCAGGCCTCAGAAGAGCGCAGGGCGGGGGCACAGGCTGGGGCTGAATGATGGACTTACAGCCTAAAACCCCCCCCCCCCCCCCCCCCCCGCGAGGGGCTGTGGGTACAGCTCAGTAACAGCTTTTGTCTACCATATACCAGATCCTGGGTTCCATCCCACATATGGAAAAAAACAAATGAAACAACAATCAGAAATCAATAAAATGAGAGTTGGGATCTGGAGGGTCAGGACCAGGGGTAGGTGACAGAGAGGTGAAGGCTATGACTGGGGTTTCCAAAAACGGGACGGAGGCAGGTGGGGAGTAGTGTCTCACAGCCTGGGGGCTCTCCTGGGCATGGGCTTGGACAGAGCTGGCCACTGACCCTGCGCGCTTTGCTCTGGTACTTGACGGCCTTCTTGGTGTCAGACACAGCCCTTTCCACGTAGTCCACGGCGTGTTCCACATTGTACTCGATCCTGTCAATCATCTCCCCCTGCAGGACCAGGGGTACCCAAGGTCCAGGCCTCCTTCCTCAGAACCAGAAGGGAGCTCAGGGGAAGGATTCAGGAAAGTTCCCTGAAGTCAGAGAGAGAGAGAAAGAAGACAGCTGAGAGGAGGGTAGGGAGCTTCTCAACTGTGCCACCAGGCCAGGCACCAGGCCAGCGCATCTTGAATACTACGACATGCCAGGAGTTGAGCCCACCTTTCCAAACAGCAGCCATCCTGGGGGTGGAATTGGCCATGCAGTCTCAGACAAGGGTGGGGACCATGCAGAGAGTGGTCAGCTGTGACCCTAGGAAGTGGACAGTGTCAAGCAAAGGCAGGACAGGAGTGGGTGGGCTGAGCCTGCCCTGGCCAAGGTTTACCAGGTGACTTGGGCAAGCTTCTTACTCTTTCCTTAGGGCGACAGTTCCATGAAGCTCTTAACGTCTGCTGTCCTCCAACTTTGAGACCTTTTGGCAGCCCTACAGTCCTCTTTGGGTCCCATGTTCTTCATCTGACTGTGACAATTTCCCCACAAGACTTCCAGCAATGTTGTGTCTCTGTCTAGGTCTGACACCTTCTCATAGCTTCTCACCAAGACACAGCAGAGCTTCCTCAGGCCTTGCCACTGCTTAAGGTTATGTCATGTCTACCCTTTGAACCCCTCGTCTAGCCAGGCATGACTTATGAGCCTAGCACTTGGGAGGCTGAAGCAAGAGGACCACAGAGTTTCAAGGCTAGACAGGGCTACATAGCAAGCCCTTTTCTTACAAAGGTAAGAGAAATCACAAAATACCCCCCCCCCAAAAAAAAAGACCAAAACAGACAGAAAACAGCAGCAAAAACGTCAAGAGAGCCAGGTGTGGCTAGCACTAAGGAGGCCGAGCCAGGATCAGGAGTTCAAAGCCTAGCTTGTGCTAAACAGCAAGATTGTCTCACAAAGGCAAAAGAACAAAACAAAATCGAAACTAAAAGTCAACAACAAAATCTACATCAACAAAGACAGACATGGTAATTTAGCTCTGTAATCCCAGCACTCAGGAGGCTGAGGGAGGAGGACTGGCACAGATTTGAGGCCAGCCAAGGAAGACCCTGTCTCAAAACAGAAGGCTGGAGATATAGCTCAGTTGCTATGATGGTTGTCTAGAATACAAGATGTCCCACGTTTGATCTCCAGCACCGTGTCAATTGAATACAGTGGAACCACCTATGATCCCATCATTTGGGAAGTAGAGGCAAGAGGATAGGTTCAGGACGTAAGATGGCTCAGGGGATAAAGCTGACTGCCACCAAGACTGAGTTCAACCCTTGGCCCACATAATCGAAGGAGAGAACTGACTCCTGCAAGCACAAATGGACATAGACACACAGGCACGCACGCGCGCACACACACACACACACACACACACACAGATGTAAAAAGGCCTTTTTTAAATAAATTCAAGGGTAGACTGATACATGGCTCAGTGTTTATGAGCACTGGTAGCTCTAGCAGAGGGCACTGGTTCAACTCTTAACACCCATGTGGCAGATCACAGCTATTAATAACCCCAATTCCAGAGGGTTAGACACCTTTTTTGGGCCTCATGAGCCCCAGGCACATAGTACATAGATGTGTATGCAGACAAAATACCCATACACACTAAAATAATATTTCTTTCTTAGTTCATGGTCATCTTAAGCTACAAATTAAGCATGGCATATATGAGACCCTGTCTGTAAAACTAAATACACCCAATAAGAGTCAATAAATAAATGAGTAGCCTCGTGGTGCCACCTCATCTGTCTCCAACTTTGGCTTGGCCTTGTCTACTCTCTGTGTCCCATTCCCTGTCTCCTGAAGCCTAGCCTCTTGCTGAGCCCTTGGCACTGCTGGTCCCTCAGTCAGGGACCATTACTCATTTCTCCTGTGAGTCATTCCTAGCTGGTCCCTTTGTGAGGAGCAGAAGAAACAGGGAGTGGTTGAGGTCCCTGTGTTAGGACGTGGGCACAGCCTTTCAACACTCAGGAGGCAGAAGCAGTTGGATCTCCATGAATTCAAGGCCAAACTGGTCTACATAACAAGATGCTGTCTCAAAGAGGGAAGAAAAAGAAAGAAAAGAAAACTTGCAACAGAAGTCAGGTAATTTGGCTGAGATGGCTCAGCTGACAATCACTTCAGTTTGGATGCCTTATAAAAGACCCGTGGGCCAGGCGGTGGTGGTGCATGCCTTTGGTCCCAGCACTCAGGAGGCTGAGGCAGGCGGATCTCTATGAGTTTGAGACCAGCCTGGTCTACAGAGTGAGTTCCAGGACATCCTCCAAAGCCATAGAGAAACCCTGTCTCAAAAAAAAAAAAAAAAAGACACCCATGTAAAAAGCCAGCCATAGAGGCCCATGCCTCTAACCCCAGTTATGGGAGCCAAAAATGAAGATTTGAAGCTCACTGGCCAGACAGTCTAGCTAATTTGGTGAGCTCCAGATTCAGTGAGAGCCCTTGTCTAGAAGAAATAAGGCACACACACACACACACACACACACCCCTGTGCGCACACACAATCAAGTTTTAGTTTATGATTTTGTGTTAGGCCTCATTCATAACCATCTCAGGTCTCCTGTGGCTCACAAGCCACTGGCTGAACACGCCCACCTAGGGCTCTCCTGAGCTCCCCCGCTTCCCCAGGGAATATTCCATTTGTTCTATTTAGACGCCGTGCTGTCCCTTCTCACCCAATAGCCATTCACTCCTGTAAGCAATGCTCAGTTGTCTTGTTCATTGCTATGCCTTCTGCTCCTAGCAAGGCAGCCAATCCACAGTGGCCCCTGACAGAGTTTGTGAAGCCAGGACAGGCTGCGGTGAGGAGTGGAGCCATGCAGGGCCTGGGGGACCAAGCAGAGCCATGCAACAGGGTCCCTGGAGGTCCTTACAACAGTCTGTGGTTACCTGAAGACACTGTCCCTCCCGGAAGGGCAGCGTGTTGGGTGGAAAGGGAAGGGGGGTTAGTGTGGCCCTGGATGCTGCTGAGAGCCAGAGGTCGTCATATCGGGGGCGAGCACTCACCTGGCTCTCAACCAACATCGCCATGTCCATGAACATATCGTGCAGCTCCCGGATGCTGTTCTCCAACTTGATGATCTCACTGTGTCTGGTCTCGATCTCACTCAGAGCCTGCTTCGAGATGCTGGAGTCCATGATGATCTAAAGAGTAGAGCAGCAGGACCCTGATGCTGAGAAGGACTGGAGACCAGGACTAGGAGGGCAGGGAAGCTGCCATTTTTTGTTTTTCAATTTATATGTCCATGTTTGAGTATATGAGTGTGGTGCCTGAGGGACAGAAGAGGGTGCTGGAGCCCCTAGAGCTGGAGTATAGGTAGTTACAAGCTGTCAGACATAGGTGTTGGGAACCAAACTCATATTTTCCAGAAGAGCAGCAAAGACTCTTAACCACAATAAATCCTCCAAGCTCAATGGTTGGTTTTGTCAATTTGACATAACCTAGAATCACTGAGGAGAGATTCTCATCTCAATGAGTATTGTCCAAATCAGCTTAGCTAGGGACATGTCTAAGAAGGATTGTCTTAATTATCAATATTAATTGATGTGAGAAGACCCAGCCCACTGTGGATGGCACCATTCCCTACACAGAAGATCCTGGACTATGTCAAGAAGAAGCTAGCTGGGCACTAAGCATGCAAACATTCATTTTCTCTTTGCTTTGACTATGATGTGACTAGCCATTTCAAGCTCCTGTGAGCTAGCTAAATCATGACCCATCTCCCCTGAGTTGCTTTTTGTCTTGGTATTTTATCACAGCCACATAAAAGAAACTAGAACAGGGGCCAAGGAGGAAGGTGGCTGGGATGAGCAGAGGTTTCCCAGAAGCAGTAGCCACATCCCTTCCATCCTCCTGTTTGGCTCCACTGCTAATTAGTTTCTGTGTGACTCAATTCCTGCCTGAAATAAGGAACTGATGACACTCCCCCACACAGTTAGTGCTCACCAAGTGAGTGTTTTATTATAGCAGGTATGGTATGGAGCACCTTTAATCCTAGCACTTGAGAGACATAAGCAGACAAATCTCAATGAGTTCCAAACCAGCCAAGTCTACATAGTGAGACACCCCATGCCTCTCTCTCTCTCTCTCTCTCTCTCTCTCTCTCTCTCTCCTCTCTCCTCTCCTCTCTCTCTCTCTCTCTCTCCATCTATCTCTCTCTATCTCTCTCCATCTATCTCTCTCTCTCTCTCTCTCTCTCTCTCTCTCTCTCTCCATCTATCTCTCTCCATCTATCTCTCTCCATCTATCTCTCTCTCTCTCTCA